CCCTTTAAATAATCCTAAATTTCAATGTTTACGCTTGATTTCTATTAAAAAAACACTTGTTAAAATCGGTAATATACAATCATAGACCATTATTACCGGACAATCCATATCGTTGAGATTACACAATATAATCAAAAATTGAGATAATTATTAACGAAACCACAATAGTTAATCTTATTATTTTCATTTTTTCCTTGTTTAAATTATTTTTTTTTTTGCCAAAAGTGAAAGCATTTGTATTAATTAAACCAGCAATTAATTAAACCAATAAACCTTTGTCCTTTATAAATCCGTACCAACTGCCACCGCCACACCTGATCTCTCTGTCTCTTCGCTTCAGCTTCCTTGCCAGGCTTCGTCTCTCCCAAAAGCCGTCGTCGCTCTTCCAATCGCATACCGCCTCACCAGGTATCATCTTCCCCAACGATTTGCTCACTTTCTTGCTGTATAGCCCTGTCCGCTTACTTCTATCCCCAACATCGCACCTGCAGTACCTCCTGTCCCAACAATTTTTTATTTTATTTCCCACTTCACTTGCATGGATATATTTTACTCATTTGTTTGTTCTTTTCAGGTCTATGGATTTGCTCAGCTCTTGTATCATTGAAAGAGAAGGTCATCACGCTCAGACTGAAACTCTTACATACTTCGTCAGGACAGTCCATGGCCGCAAGCTCAAGGTTGTTGTGGTTACACAGACACGCATGGGTGAGAATACCTGCGAGTCCAGTGATGATTGGAAACGATTCTTGCAAATTTCGGGCTGCTGGAGGTTCGTGCCAAAATATTTCAGAAACAAGGATGAACTTGAGCATAAGCTTACCCATTTTGTGCGTAGAGGGTCCTTAATGCCTCCAATTGTAGGTTAGTTCCATACTCTCTCCCTCCACCCTGCCCATCTAACAACCTGGGCTTCTTAATAGAACTCTCATCCTCTTGACATTTAATGATCACTCTGTGGCATTTTCATTATCTGTTTAAACACTTTTGAAAAAAAAATCCCTTTTCTTATCTACACACCATATCAAGATGTGTTTCATATAAATACTGAATTGAATTTTTATAAACTACATGTATATTTTGTATAGTCCTTTCTTTCATCTATGATTTCTTCTCATTTATGCTTTGTTAATTTTGGAACCACATTTGAATTAAAACAAATCAATATTTTGTTTGTGTTTATTCATTATTAGTGATTTAATCAGTCTCCTACTACCTTATTCACATATCCTTGTACCTCCTATCAGCAGGGATTGCTAATGTAATAATACATTTTTATAATGCCTACTCTTTTACCTGTTATTGTTCAATCACACAGCCTGTCCGAAAACTCGTAACATTCACTTTCCGGACGTGCTTCAATTCAACGTTGTTTGGTTTCAGCTTAACATCCCCGCTATTGACTTCGCTGTATGTTTACTTCTTTACGTTTACTGCTTGTCTCTTGTTTTTGCCCCATACCTGGTCACATTGATGTTACTTTTTTTTACACCCATTATTGTCCAGAAAATCCCTCCCTGCATGCACAGGCATCTGTTCGAACATATGCGACCCTATGCTCACCTTGTGTATGGAACAACCTCATGGGATGTCCAATTCAATGATTGCGCTTTGACTGAAGGCTTTGCTGAACTGTTTATCAACAATAATATTGACTTTGGCGCATATGCTCTCCTAAGGCATGTGGGAAACTTCACTTTTGAAGTATTCATGTTTGACAAACTAGGATTTTCTCTTAACTTGGCTGGCAAACCCATTGGCGTTTCAAATCCGTTACATACCCCAGGTACATTAATACATAGTCTCCACTTTACTGCCACACACCCCATTCACCCCCAGTTAATTTTTCTGATTGTCCACACCTGTCTACATTTTACATGGTGTACCATTTTTTTTTATTCTCCCTTGCACAACTTCATCATATACACTTTTGTTAATTACAGATGACTTCCTTGTTTATGTGGAGTCTTCTTTCAAAGATTATTCATACAACCACTTGTATTGTCACCCATCCTTTCTCTTTGTCCCCAAGAAAACGAGTAAGGTATGTGCTTTAATACATTCATTAATATTTAATCTCTCTTTCTTTGTACTTCTTTATTCCCTTTATTAAACAATCCACTTCATTTAATTAGCAACAAACCACAACGGGCGAAATAACATCTAAAATGTATGTATTCATACCTTTGATATCACCCTCAAATGATCGTTGCATACATTTCACATATTACACACCCTTGTTTTCTGTATTTTTTATGCAAAAACTTGAACCATCCCGTTACAGGTATGCTGTGAAGCCTTCCTTCGGTCTTGCAGCGATATGAGAAACCGCGTGCGCATCTTCAATAAAATTGCGCATCCATATTCCATGGTTTGAAGCTTCAAAACAGGCCAACAACTCTGCCTCCATAGTTGAGGTAGCTATCATATCTTGCTTAACACTTTTCCAAGATACAGCACCACGCGCTAGTAGATAAACATAGCTTGAAGTAGATCTACTAGTGTCTTTGCAGCCGGCAAAATCAGAGTCAGAGTATCCAACGACCTCCAAATGATCTGATTTTCTATATGTGAGCATATAGTCTCTTGTTCTCTTCAAGTATCTCATAACTCTTTTGGCCGCCACCCAATGAGCCATTCCTGGATTACTGAGATATCATTCCTAGCATCCCAACAATGTACGCAATATCCGGACGCGTACAAACTTGGGCATACATAAGACTTCCTACAACATATGCGTAGGGAATCTTTTTCATTTCTTGAATTTCCAGATTTGTTTTAGGGCACTGATCGAGACTAAACTTGTCTCCTTTAGAGATAGGGGTATCACCCGGTCTACAATCTTCCATGCCAAATCTTTTAAGAACTTTATCGATATAGTTCCTTTGTGATAACCTTAAGATTCCTTGTGATCTCTCACGAAGGATTTCAATTCCTAATACAAAGGAGGCTTCACCAAGATCTTTCATTTCAAAATGTTTTGATAGAAATCTTTTGGTTTCATGCAACATGCCTATGTCGTTAGTGGCAAGAAGAATGTCATCAACATATAAGACCAGGAAAAAGATTTTACTCCCATTGAATTTATGATATACACAATCAGCTACATCATTCATCTTAAAACCAAAGGATAAAATGACTTGATGAAATTTGTGATACCATTGACGAGAAGCATGTTTCAGCCCATAGATGGATTTTGTTAATTTGCAAACCATTTGTTTTGGATCTCCTATCACAAAATTTTCTGGTTGCACCATATAAATAGTTTCATCAATGTCGCCATTGAGAAACGCTGTCTTAACATCTATCTGATGAAGCTCTAAATTAAAATGTGCAACTAAAGACATAATGATTCTAAAAGAGTCCTTTGATGAAACTGGAGAAAAGGTCTCTTTATAATCAATTCCTTCCTTTTGAGTATAACCTTTAGCTACAAGACGAGCTTTATATCTCTCCACATTACCCCTTGAATCCCTTTTGGTTTTAAATATCCATTTACAACCAACGGGTTTACAACCTTCAGGTAATGGGATGAGTTCCCAAACTTTATTGTCTTGCATAGATTTATATTCTTCATTCATTGCCACAATCCACTTTTGAGAATTTGAACTTTTCATGGCTTGATGGAAGTTGATTGGATCATCTTCCATAACACCATTTTCTTCCTCATGTTCTTGAATGAACACAAGGACATCATTCATTGTATCCATGCTTGACACATGTTCTTGGAGATATACAACATAATCACTTGGAATTGCATATCTCCTTTCTCTAGTGGATCGCCGCAATGGAACATTTTCTTGTTGCACTTGTTCTAGAGGAAGTTGAGTTTGTTCATTTTGAATAATTTGTTCAGTTTGGATAAGAGAAGATGAAATAATGCCTTGTTGAGGTTCTTCATTAGTTTCAAAAGAAACATCCATATGAATTGGTTCAGGTATTGAAATCAATTCTTCCTCAAAGACAATATCCCTAACTTTATTCTTCCCCCCAAACTCAACATCCTTGAAAAATATGGCAGTTCCCGTTTCAAAAATATTTTTATCCTCAGGATTATAAAATTTATATCCCCTAGATCGTTCCGAGTAACCAATAAAGTAACTACTAACTGTTTTGGGTTCGAGTTTCTTTTCATGCGGCCTATACGGCTTTGCCTCGGCTGGACAACCCCAAATATGAAAATGCTTTAAACTAGGCTTTTTACCCGTCCAAAGCTCATAAGGTGTTTTAGTAGTTGCTTTAGTTGGCACTCAATTAAGAATGTAAGCTGCGGTCTTTAATGCCTCACCCCAGAGGGATTCAGGTAAGATAGAATGAGAAATCATACTACTTACCATTTCCTTAAGGGTTCTATTACGTCTCTCAGCTACGCCATTCATGCTAGGTGAACCCGGCATGGTGTATTGAGGGACAATCCCACATTCCTCTAGAAATTTGGCAAAAGGCCCTGGACGTTGTTCACCTGAGCCATCATACCTCCCATAGTATTCACCACCACGGTCGGATTTGACTTTCTTTATGCGTTTGTTGAGTTGATTCTCAACTTCTGATTTGTAAGATTTAAACACGTCCAAGACTTGAGATTTTTCATGTATAAGAAATAAGTATGCATATCTAGAGTAATCGTCTATGAATGACACAAAATATTGTTGACCATTCCATGAAGGAGTAGGAAATGGCCCACAAATATCCGTGTGTATTAATTCTAAGACATCCATAGCTCTATATGCACCTTTTTTCTTATTTTTGGTTTGTTTTCCTTTAATGCACTCAATACAAGTATTGAAATCAGAAAAATCAATGGAATTAAGTGTTCCATCAGACACAAGACGTTCAACTCTATTTTTAGAGATGTGACCTAATCGTTTGTGCCATAAAAAACCAGATTGTGCATTATCAACCTTTCGCTTAGTGCCTCGGGTGTCAATATTCAAAACATTATTATATGAAGTTATTGTTTCAAGCATGTAAAGATTTTCATATGACATAAAAGAACCAGTCCCTACTATACTTGAATTTAAAGACAAATGAAACCGAAAGTTTCCAAATGAACAATGATAACCCAATTTGTCCAAATAAGAAACAGAAACCAAATTCCGCCTAAATGACGGAACAACAAAAGTGTCTTTTAAATCCAAATAGAAACCAGTAGACAATAACAATCTAAAATGCCCAATAGCCTCCACATGCACCGCTTTGCCATCTCCCACGTAGACACATCTTTCAGCATCATTTGGCTTGCGGTGGCTCAGACAACCCTGCATAGAAATACTAATGTTAGATGTTGAACCGGAGTCTAACCACCAAGTATTTCTAGGCACTGAAGCGAAATTGTTTTCAGTACAAACCAAGGTAAGGACCGTACCTTTCTTCACTTTCCAAGCGTGATACTTGGTACAATCCTTCTTCATGTGTCCAGACTTCTTACAGAAGAAACAAGTTGTTTCACCTTCCTTATGTTTCTTCTGTACTGGACCTTTAGCAGCTTCATTCTTAATGGGAGTTTTATTCCTCTTTTTACCCTTATCCTTAGAGGTGCTAGCCAAGTGAGCACTTTCTGTCTTATTTTGTTTCATCCTCTCTTCCTCTTGCACGCAATATGAAATGAGCTCGTTAAGAGACCACTTCTCCTTCTGGCAGTTATAACTAACCTTAAAAGGATCAAATGCAATAGGAAGAGAGTTCAAGACTATGTGTACGAGAACATCTTCCGATATCTCAATCTTAAGTGTCTTTAGCCTAGAAACAATATAAGACATTTCCATAATATACTTCCTCATATTTCCTTTTCCTGAATACCTTTTGGAAGTAAAGTCTTTTAACAACATGCTTATTTCCGCCTTATCGCTTTTAACAAAACGTTTCTCAATTTCAGAAAGGAAATCCTTGGCATTAGTAACCTCATCGGATACAGCACCCCTAAAGGATTCTGGAATGCCACGCTTTATGATCATAAGACTTAAGCAGGTTGCTCTACCCTTCTCATAGTACCTTTTTTCATCTTGGGTACTACCATTCGTAAGAGAAGCAGGTTGCTCTACCCTTAATGCTAAGTCAAGATCCATGCAGCCCAAAGTTATTAGAATATTTTCTTTCCATTCCTTAAAATAGTACCATTTAGGACAGGGATGGAGTTGAGATTGGCAGATATGCTCGCAAAATTAACCGTGGAAAGAACAAGGATAACAAACATATGTTTTAGTGAAATTGTAAAATGATTTTAACCCATCACAAGATACCAAATGCACCATTAGTATTTCATCTTTGGACAATAATACTAATTGCTAGTGGTACTCTTGTTGTAACAATAAAATATAACAATAATACATATAAAAGAAAAATCCACCTTTGGGTTGTTTTTTTCTTTTAAAGTGAAGCCTTATAATTGGTATATATTTATTATTACCAAAATGTATATATATAACTTGATAAAATATTAATCTTCCTTTAGGCCGATTAATATTTACTTGAACTATATACAAAGTATGTACTATGTTTAATATTTTATATGAGCAACTTACACAATAGGATCACTTTGGTGACATATTGTTTCCATATACCCATTTAAATATTAAACTCCTTTTATTTTACAATTTCATCACAGTTCAAAAATTCTTACCACAATACTACTTTAAAATTGGCTTACGTCAATCAAAAATACATGATCAACGGCAATTTAATTCACAAGTTTGATGATAAACATGGAATTAATCAAACTTAAAACAAGTTGCTAATCGATCCCAAAAAATAATAATAGATCAGCATCAACTTAATACATACGTAGTAATTTCATTTGAAAAATATCATGAAATTGCAATCAAATTTATATTTGGACATGCATACAGAATTCAATTCAATTGTACTATATCAATTAAGCTTTAAAATGATGACTTCATCATTCATAATATAACATCACATGTATGCTCATAGAGTCATTTGATTAAATTACACCGTAGCATATAAATGGCATAAACGGTTTCATATGGCTAAAAATTAATTCATTACGTGTAATAAATAGATTCACTCAGCACCATCAATGTATACGTACGTGTAAAACTAATGATTTAACATTACATTTACATTGAATTATATTCATGTTTGAGACTCCAAGGGGTGCAAATGACATGAAGTAATTAATCTTGAGAATTCAATCATGAAATGAATCGTACATCAATACTTGAAAAACAAAAGGAACTGAAGCATTGAATTGCTGATAAAAGAAATGAATCTGTAATGATAAATATACATGCAGCGGAAAACAGAATCGACAATAAAAAATTCCTCAGAAATTTATCACTTATCCGATGATTAGATGCACATGATCGAATCATTTCATACAAAAATAAAACTTGAGAATTCACTAATTCAAAATAAAAATTCTAGATATAACGATGAACGCATATCAACGAAGAATTTCATGGATCTATAATGGTAGGCTCTGATACCAATTGATGAATATTCATACATATATCAACAAAATTCCATATGTGATATATATATATATAAATATATAATAGCTAAATCCATATAAATCCATGAAATCAAATATGTATGAACTAAAATTAGAATCATACCTTGAGAATTCATTTGCATTATCACTTTAAGAAGAACCCAGGAATTCAACGTGATTAATCAGCTAACCTTCCAGTGTTATGTAGCAATGTATATATGAGATATCTTAATCCTATAATAGATGGGATATATATAGGACTAGTTCAATATTGTAACGGTTGGCTCTTATTATTCCTAATAATAATTCCTTAATTATTGTTGCAATAATGATATTATTTAGAATAATTTATTAGGCCATTTTCCGTTACAATATCTTTACTGTTATCTCTTAATTTACACGCACCGGGGGTCATAACCGTTGTATCACTTTAGTATAATATATTTAATTTGACCCGTCACCAAAAGAAATATATTATCCTGGTATCTACACTTTTATTATTTCATGAATGGCCACTGTATTATTTATCTGATGGTAAACACATTTTAATTAATTACATATTAGGCCACTTTTATTGTTTTCCAACAACTGCTTCTTATAATTTCGTCATGCGGGATGGAAAACCTACCAAACAACCCACATGTGTATGAAATACGTAGCACTGCCGGCACTGAGTTTGCTGAAGGCCCTTGATTTCCCTCCATCCAATTACTATGCTATCCCTTTCCTCTGGAACTTACTGTTTTTTACAACTGCACATTTCAAACACTATTAACCAAACTATTATGCCCTAGCTATATGCTTTGCTGGTATTTTTGTTTTCTTTTTTTGTCCAGCAAACTAATTGCAGTTTAAGCACCCAACATTTATGTTTTTATGACATTGAATCTCTTTTGGCTCATTTGTACTGTGTTTGCATTTCTATTTTTTTACAAAACGTTTTTTTCATTATATCACGCGTTGGGCACCTGCCGTCGGGCAAAGCGCGTCCCCTCGCTAGTCAACTTAATACATGCGTAGTAATTTCATTTGATTCAAGCCATCAAAATTGTACTGTTTAATGCAATCATGCCATATTTGAACATTAGAATAATGACAAACCAAAAAAAAATTAACCGTTGCCATGGCTTGTCAGTTTCAACTTGGTGGAAGAAAATCTTAATGAGCCTTTAACATCTTTATCTATTTACATATATGCCATAAGTATTGATCTTGAGCAGCAAAACACATTCATGCGATCAAAAAACATATATAGCGCTGAATTATAAATCATGGCTTGAGACATGAATCCGTATAAAAAACATTGCAGCGGAAAAATTCTTTATAAAACATTGCTCAACCGATGCATTCAAATAAACATATTTTAAAATAAAGAGTGGAGGATATTTCGGATATCTCCCAAAAAAAATCCAAACAAATCAGCTGAAGTTTCCATCCCATCAAAGTTTCATCCGATTAAAGTGCAAAATTATTGATAAAACCTTGAAACAGGAATAGCTAAATAAGGATTCGGCAAAAATTTGACATACATATGTGATGGAGTATATGGGTCTGAGCCCCAGGACCCACATACTCGGAAGAACAGAAAGCACAAGACAACAGAGTGGCGCCCTCGTCGGCCAAGACGCTCCCGTCGGCCGAGAAGAAGCCAACTCGGATTATGGTCCTGAGTCCAAGGAACCCGGGTGCCCTCGTCGGCCGTGCCCTCGTCGGCCGTGCCCTCGTCAGCCACGCCCTCGTCGGCCACGAAGACCTCCCAGAATCGGATCCTATACTTACTCATTTGTACAGCCCATTAGAGGCTTTGTATTCGGCCCAGTAGCGGTCCAGTTGTAAATGGGCCTCCCAAGCCCAAGGCTTGGGAGCCCAACCCTAATTTTCTCTATAAATACTCCCCTTGGGAGTAGTTATAGGGGTTACGAATTCATTCTATTGAAGCATATTATTGCACTTCTCTCTCTAGCTCTCACTTCTCTCTAGATATACTCTATCATTTGGTGCTCTCGTTGAGAGCTAGAACAATCAAGTTAGCACCCTTCGTCGCTACCAAGCACAGCTAACCACTGATCATGGGGAGAACTAAGTCAAACCGCAACCTCGTCGGCAAAGCCATCCCTGAGGACCAAGAGCCCAGGGAGCACGATGAGGACGCCACGGCCGACCAGGTCGGCGGAGGGGACCTCTTCCAGGAGGCCTTCCACCTCACAACGGACCTCCGCAACCAACTCAACGGCGGCGCCCCTGATGCCCGCCTCGGCTTGGACAAGAAGCGAGCTGAAAAGACGGATCACGCCCCGGCCCAGCCTATGGCCGCGGCCTCTCCGTCCGTGGATCCACAGGTCCAGGCCGCGCTGTCGGTCATCATCGCCAGCCTAGCTCAGAACCCCACCGTCCTCAGCGCACTCTTGCCAAGGACCGGGGGAAACGTCACTCCACCTCCTCATCCCCAACCGTTGGCCGTCCAGATAGGCAACAATGAGGGGGTTGTGGCCCAGGACACGGCGTCGTCCCACTCCCACCCTGCTTCCCCTCTTCGGCCCGGGCAGACCCCAGCGCGTGGAAAAGCCTCTGATTTCAATAGGCTAGGTGACACGTGCCGTCGTCCGGTTTCGGAGAGGATGGCGGGACGGATTGGTGATCTTCGTCCTGGCTCGCCAAGGGAAAGTTTGGGGTCTGTGTCCCGGACAGCGGACCAGCCCCGCCCGGACAAGGGCAAGGGGAAGTTGCACGAGGATGACGTGCGTCACCAGATCAACGCGGCCCACAACGAGCGCCTGAGGAACCAGCCGGGCGCCGCTGCGGCCGACAGGGACCCCCGGGATGAGGTCATCGCCCAGCTGGAAAGGAGGCTGGCTCAGATGGAGGCCAAGCAGTCGGCCAACATCCCTACGGCCGGCGCCTCCAACGACCCCGGCCTCAACGCGCTCATGAACAAAGTTAGCGCCCTGGAGAGGGAGCTGGCCGAAGGGCGGGGTGACCCCATCATCCAGGTCAGGACTAGGACCCCTTTCACCAACAGGGTCCTCTCGGCCCCCATCCCCGAGAAGTACAGGGGGAACGCCATCAAGTCCTACGATGGCCGGTCAGACCCCCAGGAGCACTTCAGCCGTTACCAGAACAACATGCTGATGGTGAACGCGTCCGACGAATACCTCTGCCGTTGGTTCCTCTCTACTCTCGAGGGGCCAGCGTACGAGTGGTTCAACGGACTGCCAGAAGGAAGCATTGACTCATGGCAGGATCTCGCCCAGCGCTTCCTCACTCACTTTGCCGGAAGGAAGCGCGCCAAGAAGTATTTCACCCACCTCCTCTCCGTCAAGCAGCAGCACGAGGAGTCCCTCCGGTCATTCATCGATCGGTGGACGAGGGAGACCGAGGAGGTCGAGGGGGCCGATTAGTGCACCCTCCTCACCTTGTACCAGGGAGCCCTCCGCAGCTCCCCGTACGCTAGGAGCCTCATCACCGACCCCCCGAGGTCGTACGCCAAGGCGCTCCAGCGCGGAGGCTTGTATGCCGACGCCGATGAGCTCCAC